TTAAATTTCTTTTTTTACGGAATCCACAGCTTTGTCAATGGCACTCTGGTCTTCATTCTGCGAAAAGAAACAATGAAAAAAATCATGCAGTGAGAATCAGAGTGGACAAAAATATTTACTTTCCTCTCTTAGCTAGGTTAGGGTAAAAAAAGAAAAAAAAAAGATTTATCCTATTATTTTAGCTTGTATCCAAGGGTGCCCATCTACTGTTGCGGCTAGCTAATCCCTGTTGCAGATGCATGCTCAGGCATATTTATGTTTGTTCAACACCCACAGAGCCCACCTGTGGTTTATACTGCAACTATGATGAGCACACCTTAGTTACAGTTTCTGGGAGAGAGCATATTATCTAGCATGATCAACAGTCTGAACAAAGCCAGCATGCCTCGGTCACTATGACTTGTGACTTTGTGCTAACACAACCACCAATGGCTCCCTAAGGGTTCCATCAACCTAATTTCACTCTCAAGCCTTGGGTCAATTTGTGATATGGTTTTCAGGCACTTTTCAAAGGTGCCACATGCCTCCTCCAGATTAATAACATGGTCTCATGGTCAGAAAGTGAACATTCTAACCACCTAGCTACATGGGGGTGTTAAATATGCTCTCTTCAACTCCTTGTGTAGTCAGAGTCCTAAATTGAAGGCAAAAATGCAGTTTCTGCTACATCTAAAAATAAACTCAAGTTATTCCCTGCCTTATTTTGGCGATTGTACGACAACCACTATCTGGATGTGAAGTGGCTGTAAGCTGTAATGTGGCTTCTCTTGGCCTTTTCTAGAAATACTTTCATGATAATTGTTCAGATAAACTTTCCTCTACGGTACCTAGACTTTATGAATTTAAGCACAGAACTAGATAGGTGGCAAGGTTTCATCATTTTACAGTTGAAATGACTAGATGTAACTAAGTTCTATGCTAAGTTTATTTTCTCGCACTTCTCGCTCATGGAACTCTCATCCGGCTTCTTGCTTACCAGTTAACTTTGATCTTCAAAACTTTAAATGCAATGTTATTGTCTTAATTCTCATTCTTTTATTGTTCTCTCTCATTAATAGTAGTTTTTCTTATATTCTTTAACACTCAGTAACCTCTTGCGTCTTAGTGGCTTTATTGCCTTGCTTGGGATTAAATGATTAAATAAAAAAAATAATAAAAAAAAAAAAGAATCCTTCTTGAATGGAAAACCGAATTAAACTTTTCATCAAATTAATAAAAATCAATTCTCATTCAGTAAGAAATATCACTCATGAATAAATCTTAATTTTCTGTTTTTTTAACAATTAAGACACACACACACACACACACACATATATATATATATATGTGTGTGTAATGACAAAAAGAAAACTTTTCTTGCTGATGCATAAGGATTTTGTTTTACAAGTATTTATAACCAGAAGTAAAAAAATTAAATTATTTCCTATTTTTTTTTAAAAATTAAAGTATTTTTGATACACCCCATATAGATATATAATTTTTGCTTGCCCATTTACAGCACTGCTGCAGGCTTAGTGCTTTATTAAAATGGTTTTCATGTGTATTAAAAAGCCCTTAAAAGAATTTAAACAAGGCATTATATATTTTATTTATACATTATTTTTACAGATAAAATTATTTAAGTAAATGCTTTGTTTATAATAAACAGTATTAATTAAATTTACTGGCCTGAATGTCTGAAAAATTTCACAGAAAATGTGTCCTCTGACAGGAATTAAACCTGTATCCTACACGGGACCATCATTTGGCCTGACATGCTATACCATTTAACTACAGAGGAAGCATCTAGTTAGCAAAGTAAAAACAGTAATTTGCTAAGCAGATACTTCCTCTCTAAATGGTATAGCATGTCAGGCCAAATGACGGTTCCTGTCGAAGAACACATATTTTTCTATGAAATTACTTGGACATTCAGGCTGGTAAATGTAATTATTATTGTTTATTATAAACAGACCATTTACTTAAATAATTGTATATATAAAAATAATGTATAAACAAAATATATTAAATAATTGTCAGACTTAGTCCATTTTATAATGTGTGTGTGTGTGTGTGTGTGAATGCCAGGATGTAGACAAAGGAATTTTGCCTAACACATTGCTTCTTGAAAAGGACGGACAGTATAACAACAAACAACAATACAAACATGGGCTTTCGATAGTTTATCCACAATATTGATCACAATACTGAACATCTTGTTCAAAAAGTGGAAAATACAATAAAAAATGAAACAGTTGTTTTTAATCAAATCTGTTTGATTGAATAATTGCTGTCTAAATATACGTTATATATATATATATATATATATATATATATATATATATATATATATATTTATATTTTTGAATAGAAGCTATGTTTTTTAATTAAAGGGTAATTTTTGTCCAACTACATCTTCAAATATTCGAGAAATCTTGTCAGAAAAATGTGTCCCTTCCGGTAGGAATTTTAACTGGCATCCACTATGGGGAACTGTCATTGGATCTGACATGCTTCACTGCTTGATCACATAGCACTTACAGTCAAACAAAGCCTGAATAGAGCCTTTGGAACACACACACACACACACACTCTGCTGATTTTCAAAACATCCATATCTGCTCCGTTTTGTATTCTAATATAAACAAAGAGAATTTATTTTTAGGAAATGGATTAAATTCTGACATTGTTATTTTTAATTTATTTTGTTTGATGGCTACTCAGATTTGAGTAGGGGATGAAGGTTCAAATCCTGCTGGAGGATGCAGGTTTTTCTGACAAGATTTCTTGAATATTCAGGCCCATAGAGGTAGTTGGATTAAAAAAAAAAAAAAATACTGTTTAATTTAAAAAAAAAACCCTCAAAAAACAGAGTCTCTACTCAAATATGAGTAGGTGTTATTGGGTGATGACTTTTTCTTTTTTATTAATAATACTTTCATGAACGCATTATTAATAATGCGCTGACCATGTTTTGAAAATAAAACATTCCTATAACTCGAGACGCATACATAAAACAATCCATCAATTCAGTTAAAAGTAAAAATAAAATCATCCTTGATAATGGCTAAAAGTAAAGCCTAAAGCACTCGGACATATAGAACATTCGGACAATTTCTACATAATTTATGTTCAGAAAAGAAGAAAATTATAAGAACACAAGAAAAATTAAATAAAAAATTAAACTGCAGTACCTTGGCAGTCATTTTTAATAAAACTTGTATAAAAGAAGGAATGCTGCCCAAATACACAAATATATATATATATATATATATATATATATAACAGTACAGACTGGGTTCTATAGCCTTGGGTGACAACTGGTCTAGTAGAAGAAAACTCTGAATTCAAAACTTGGCATAGCACATACTATACCATTAAAGAAATGATTGTTCTCATTGGCTCGATGATCCTGACTACGATTGAATGAGGATGATGAGATAGATATACCTAAAATTTGCCACTAAACTGATTGATGTTTAAAATTTAATATTGGAGATATATCATTTTGTATATGTGTGTGTCTGTGAACATAAGAATCAACACTGCATGGGGACTGTCAGTCTCCTACTGATCATCAGACTGATCTTCAGACTAAAGATTGCACTGAAGCATAAAACTGACAGTCATCATGCAGTGTTGATTCTTATGTCCACCCTGTTTATATATATAAAAAAAAAAAAAAAAAACACTATTTTAGGAGAAATTACTAAGACAGAATCTAACCTTTTTTACATCATCGCTCACTTTCACATTTTCTGATGCTATCTTGTATATTAAATATTCAAAAGCATAGTGAAATTGTTTGGTAAGAGTTTGTTACTGGTTCGAAAACTGACTTTACAATGCAGTAAAAAATAATGCAGATTTATGCAATGGCAGCTGCTTCTACTACCATATTAAAGAACAAATGAAAGCACGCTTGGAACTTGAAAGCAAACTTTTTTTCGAGTAGTATATGTTGAAGTACCTTTTTAATACTAAATTGTATATCGCTCACCAAATTTTTCAGTCATCCATCATTTTCTGTTCAGTTCTGTTTGCCCACCAACAAGCAATATCGCCCAGGCTGGGAAATGCTGGTCTAAGCAAAGGAAGATAAAAATTTCCTAAAATGGAGAGAAATCTGTGGCTACAATAAATAGATTATCTAACAGATGGAAACCTAAACCAACAACATAACCAGCAGTAATACTTGAACCTACACTCAACCCAAACTAACTGATCTCATCTCTTGTGCCTTATAACAGTTTCAAGCTCCATTTTTTGACTTTTTTTAACCAACTATTTGCAGTTATTATAATCTTTAAGTCTTTTGTTTTTTATTTTATACTTTATGCTGACCACTTCAACTGACGTGTTAAAACAGAAGGCATTAGTGGCAATACAAACTTATTTTGACCCCACCACCAAATTAAGAATTTACTAGAATTTTCTACTCCATGCAGATAATAGACCTCCCTGATAACAGGTATGGGGGAGTGGTTTTATTTTAATTTGCATAAAGAGGTTTCAGAAAGTTCCTAGCCTGATGAAAAAGCCCCTAAAAATTTCTTTGAAGTCTGGTCAGATTCCTGAAATTGTATCAGTCAATGAACTTCTTTTCAATATCTCTTCAGAGGACTTAAAAAAAAAAAAAAAATTATTTAGTTTCGTTTTCAATATTAAATGTTCTTTAAAAAAAAAAAAAAAAAAGAAAAAAAAGAAAAGCTTTTTTAATACAATGTAATGAAAATCATTTAAATATCAATTTGTCATTTTCAGGATGAACAACATTGCTGTTCATGTTCAGGAGACAACAGTTGGGCTCATGGTTAAAGAAAATTTTATATATATATATATATATATATATATATATATACACACACACACACACACACACACACTCTACAGTTCAAAAGTTTGAGGCCACTACAGCTAATTTTTTAAATTGGCCCCAAAAGATGTTTTATACTTTAAATAAGATAAAACTATTATAAAAAATGAGACATAATTGTTTTTAGTAAATTTTATGACCAGAAGAAAAAAAGCATTTTATGATTAAATTTTGCTTTTGTCAAAATATCCACCTTGATTGC